TCCTGTTCATTAGATTTGTCTCCCCAAGGATGTCAATGGCCTCCCTAATCTTCCGCTTCCTTGTGTTGTCCCCGTATGGAGCTTTCCTATTGTTGCTTTCCAATTGGTCTCGTGTTCAGTCTGTGCGATGTGTTCAGCCTGTGCGATGTGTTCAGCTAGTTCTGATCTTTCTGTATCCATTTTCCTGCAGAGCCTCTGATGTTCCTTGATTCCTGTGCTAATTTCTCTCCCTGTTTTGCCAATATGTTTCTGTTGGCACAAGCCGCATGATAAACAGTAAACTCCGGAACAGTCCAATTTGTCTACCCTTTCATGTTGCGTTGGTAGACTTGTGAAAAGTGTTTATTTCTCCTTCCATTTCCTCAATATTGGCCGTAGTTTTTGAGTTAGTTCGCAGGAAGGCTGGCATATCCACTTTTGTGAATTCTTCATCGTCCTTATTGTCCTTTCATAGTCCCCATTCTGCCATCGGCTTTTCACGGTGTTTCTCTGTATCACCTCGCTTGGGTAACCATTGCCGAAGGAGATCCTAGTCAATTTGTCCAGCTCCTCGTCTCAGAATTCTACATCCGCTAAGCGTAGGCTTCGGATGATCATGCTCCTCATTATTCCAATCTTCAGCCTGTTATTGTGATGGGAAGGGAAATTGAGTATTATCCCAGCATAGGACTTTTTCTGAACAATTTCTTTTTGAGCGTCCCATTAGAACGAATCACCGCTTACCTTCCTATACTTTCATCGTATATTGAATTTTTCCATCAATTTGATTTGCAAACTTCAGAAACTCTTCTAGTTTTTCTCTTCCATGTGACCAAAGTGCTAAGTAATCATGCATGTACCCCATGAGCACTGTCGGTGGTAGCGGTGCCATCTTGAAGCTCTCTTCTACTTTGTTTATGCATACATTGGCCAAAAGTGGTGAGAGCCGTGATCCTATGGGAAGTCCAATTATTTGTTAATAGAGGTTTCCGTTCAATGAAAAATAGGTTCTACTTATTGTCAAGTTTATTAGTCTTGTTAACGACTCCCTACCGATCCGTTGGGATTCCAGGATATCTTC